CATCTAGTCCTGAGTATTAACAGGATAGAAAGCTTTCCAGCAGCTCAAGGAGCTGTTTTACTATAAAACAGCTCCCAGTGAAGCCAGAAATTCTGTGGAAGCAAAGAGTCAAAACCTTGGCTTGCATCCACGCTTCTTGGACCGTGTTCCTGACTCTGAACTCTGGACTCTGCCCCTGGACTACACTGGTATTGGACTTTGGACTCTGACCCTGAACTATGCTGTGTATTGGACTCTGGACACTAGACTTCATTCTGTGAGTTGATTTATGGACATTGGGTTTGCATTCTTGGTATCCTTGACCCTGGACTAGTTTATTGGACTTCGGCTGTTGTAACCCCCGGGAACGTGACAGGTGGTATATAAGCAGCACACTTTGCTTTGCTTCTTGATGAAGCTAAGAAAATCAAGATCTGGAATACATCTTACTGAGTTCCATGATTGAAAAAAGGACAGGATATAAATAACAAATTAATACTGAGCCACAGAATAGTCAGAAGCTTACCTTTTCATGTTGCACACCAAGCCCTTCTTCATCTTCGCCTGACAGTAGTATCAAAGACTGAGATTTTCCCTCCCTGGAGTACTTTGGCTTAACCCTACGACCACTGTCTGGTGTCTGGCTTTGCTCCAGGTAGCCCCTGCTTTCCACAGCCAACCCATCTTCATCAGACTTGCTTAGCACTTTAATTGATTGATTGGCTTTGCTTTGAGTCCTTAAAATGTCACTGAGCATTGATTTCCTGCTCCTTGCTGCCACTGGGTTACTCTCAGGCTCCTTCTCTGGCCTGATACCCCAGCTTGATTTTGGCTTCTTGAAAGCAAAGAAATGTCCTATTTTCTTTTTGAAGGTTCGAGAGCCAGAAGATGTTGATGTTGCTGCTGCCAGGGAGGTTTCCAATGAAACAGGGCTGCAGGCCAGTAAGGAGAAAACAAGATTTTAGGAGCTTTTCAAGGTTCCAGAAGGTTAGGGTTCCAGTGAATCTGAATAGGCAGGATATTATTGGCACAAATGCTCATAATCTTGTTAATGAAAATACATTGAAGCATGATCAATCTCTACTGACAAAGGATGTAATCAAATAGTGAACATTGTCTGATTAACCAGAAAAGGTTACTTTTGCCAGGAGCAATCTCCCTTAAAGCAACCCTTCTATGTGCTGGATAATAGCTCCAACTTAACCCCCAAAACTAATAGCCCTGCTGCTAGATCAAAAGAGCACAGATAGGCATCAGGCTGGAGCACTATTATCTTATGTCACATGATTGCCAGGAAATAGTGATCATGTCCTAAACCCTACTGATGAAGACACCAGTTGCGAATGCTCCTCAGCTTAAAAACATGGAACACTGCCAATATAGCAGACCCAGTGAAAATTACTCTTTTTTGAAAGCTGTAACAGTATTCCCAGTTTTGCATTGTCATTAATGTTTGGATCTTTTGGGGCCAATTTAAGAATTGACTATGAAGCAAAATACTCCAAGGAACATTTTCTTAACCTGAAAAATTTGTCTACACTGAAAATAGCAAATGTTAATGATGAAACTCATCATGCCTTTGGCATTATTACTGGGGACTTTTTCCTCAAGCTATGTTGTAAGAAAGGTGGACACTACTCGGTTTATATCTGGAAGTTAAGAAGCTGATAGGTAGAAAACTACTTACGGTAAAAGTTCATGAATCACCTTCTTGGTAAAGAACTCATCTAGCCCTTCGTCCAGTCTGGCAATGCTTCTGTCTTCATCATTCTCACGTAGGAACACTTGCACCTAGGACCAAAGCCACATTTGGAGTGACATGCAGGAGAAGCAGGACATGACAGCATGAAATACAGAAAAAAGATATGTAGGTTGTTTTCCTGCTCTCACTTGCTGGCAACTGTGGACTCAGAGAATGGGGTATTAAGTTGGATGTGTTTTTGTCAGAGTGAACCCCAAAATCAGACATCCAGTTCTGCCAGCTACTTGTTTGGTTTTTGAATAAAAATACAGAGCCATTTGGACAAGGTAAAAATCTGTAAAAACAGGTGGATACCATGGCGATTCAGTGCATCTCAGTCTAGCCAACAACAAATACCCTCCCAAGTCACATCTGCAACTCAAGTAAATAAATAAACATAAATAAGTCCTTAGCTACATCCTAATTTCACATAGTACTTAAATCAATGGGATATATTAGTAAAAAATAATTTATGTATTATTGATTTCATTGGATCTTTAGTGTGACTAATGCAAATTCCAAAAGTTTTTCTTAGGACGTCTGGTGGCATGAGAATCTTTAAATTATGGCATCAAGATCTGCCACAAACAGCCAAGCCACTTGGATGATGCCGTCCTTAATCCAGTTTACCAAATAATTCAACACAGTAGTAATGGGAAAATTCAGCTGTGCCAAGAATTAAGATCCAACAAATTCCTTACTCATCTTGCTGATAACTTCATCGTCTAGAAGGCAACAGCAAGAGGATCAGCTACTTAGATATGATCCTAGCCTATAAGGGAAAACAGGTCAAGTACAGTAGTGGGAATCCCAAGTGGGTGGAAATGACATGCACCCTACTGAGAGTCATTATATTGAGAAAAGTTTCTAAAATATGAACTCCTGAAGGCATAATCACAAACAATTCCTGTGAGTTGGGGGGATGTCAGAAGGCAAAAATAATGACTACAGAAGTACTACACAACTTTAATGTTCATGAAGAAATTCAAATTGTTAAAGATCAGTTAAAACAGTCTAAATTAAGGCTGCAGATAAAAACTGAAGATTGACTTGTAAGGGCATTAAGAATGGAATTAGAAAAGATTGTCAATCAAAATCATCCAAATTTTGTGTTCCCAATCTGAGAGTGTCATACTTTGAGAATATCATGAGAAGCAGGGCTCTCTGGAAAATACAATAAATTTGTGGGCAACAAGAAAAGGGGAGACCAAATATGAAATGGATTGACTCCCTCAAGGAAGTCACACCCTTGAGTTTACAAGAGCTAAGCAATGCTGTTGAGGACAGGATATTTGGGACATCGCTTATTCATGGGGTCATCATGGGTTTGAGGTTACATGACAACAACAAAGAAACCAGAATAGCTTCATAAGGAACTTTATACTGAGCTGATTTAAAAGGGCAAATCATTGAGGAAGAAGTAAGAAGAGGATGGCTAAAGATAATATTTTAAGAGAGGTTTAAAAATAGCAAAAGGGCCCACCTCAAGTTATGAAACTTAAATAAAATTTGCCTGTATCTTCCTCCATAAGTTTTAAAAAAGCACTTGGTGAAAACAAAATCAGTTACACACTGCTGGGCACAGCCCAACGGGTTATATGGACACATCTAGTTACTTCAAACAGATTTGTTGGCAGGGTAAGAGGAAATGCATTCATGAAAGGAATGTGTAGACTAGATTAATTTTATTATTCTATATTTTTGTCTACTTTTGTCCATGTTTTAAAGCAGCTTTTTAAAAAAGGGATGTGGTGGCACTGCAGGTTAAACCGCAGAAGCCTCTGTGCTGCAAGGTCAGAAGACCAGCAGTCGTAAGATCGAATCCACGCGACGGAGGGAGCTCCCGTCACTTGTCCCAGCTCCTGCCAACCTAGCAGTTTGAAAGCATGTAAATGCAAGTAGTTAAATAGGGACCATCTCGGTGGGAAGGTAATGGTGTTCTGTGTCTAGTCGCACTGGCCATGTGACTACAGAAACCATCTACGGACAAAACGCTGGTTCTACGGCTTGGAGATGGGGATGAGCACTGCTCCCTAGAGTCGGACACGACTGGACTAAATGTCAAGGGGAATCTTTACCTAAAGCAGCTAATCCGGTTCTTTATATCTGGATCAAGGTATCATTTAAACAATTCAGGAGGAGTCATTGTTTCTCTTACAGAGCAGGTAATAAAAGAGATATTGAAATACACTACTAGTCCCACCAGATCTGCATACACAGGTTATATGCTCTTTCCTGAAATCCACTCTCTAATGTTACATATGGCATTAATCATTAATCAACAGAAAATTAGCATTTCTCATGCTTTAAATGTAATCTGTTTAATCATTGGGAATTAAGGATGCAATTTTGTCTGAGAACAAACATTGGATATAATGTAAACACAACTCCAATTGGGTATTGTTGACTGACAGAATTATGATTAGATGGATTACAATCCATTTCCTCAATACATTAAATGGTATTTTTATATAAGAATACATATTGGTTGGCAATTCAATGGCAACACTGAAGGGTAAGTTAGAAATTTACTAAGTAAAGCTCATTCTAAGAGTGAAACTATCATGGCTTTTTCAAAGGATACAGATAATCTTCATTATTATATCAGATAATAGTGGCCATGTTCCTTACACTGGATACATTACATCACTGCAGTGATCTGAATAACAGGGAACACACCCTGTTTATATGGTGGAAATTAAGGAAGAAGTAAGAAGGGACATTTCCTGTAACTTTGGCAACAAAAAAGTGCATAGAAGAGTTTTTACTGTTTCTTCAAAGTTTAAAGCTAACTTAGTGTTCCCTAAAATTCCACAACCTGTTGTCCATCTACATAATTTTTTTAAAAAATATAGGTTAATGGCTGATGAGTTAGTCAAATTAAGAATCTTAGAGTTTGTTTGTAACATCACATAAAACACGAGGATATTTTTCATTCTCCACATGGAACCAACAGATGTAGTGACTGTTGGGTTGGTTGGGGAAATTTACCAAGTATTTAACCACCTGTAAAGCTTGCAAACATGACAAAGAATGGGCATGAATCTCAAACACAATAAATTGTACTTGATTAGCAACCAGTCATCTACACATCCAAAGGGTAAAACTTTGCAGTGGAAGGATGAGCTGTAACTGCCAATCATTATTCTGCCCTCACTAAGAGAACATGGTTCAATGCCTCCTTGCTGATGTTCCCACACAGTTCACCGTTACAAAAAGAAAACATGTCATTAAAGATCCACTAATTCACATCATACTGCAACAGTATGCCATGCAAAATACAGTGCAATCCAATTAATAAACACTCTTACAAAAGACTATTCCACAAACTTTCCATTAATGAAAATTCTGCATTAATGGAAAACAGTCAACAGTGCCATTGGCTATACCTTTACAGAGTAATTTCTGCCAGATCAAACTCCCCCCCCCGGCCAGAATTGGCATCCCAGGTGTCATGGAGGTAGAAAAGTGCAGGGTGTCCAAAACAGGATATGGAAAGTTATAGAAGATGTTTTTCTTACCTTAGTCCTGCCCTCCCCCTTTTTCTGCAATGGAAAAATGGCATCCCCTTTGATTTCTCCTATAATTCATTATGGGTTCTCACTGGTATAAATCTAATGACCAGCTAATAACGTCAGAAAACATCATTGTCCGGTCCAGCTCAACCTTGAAGATTTATAAATCTGTGCAGTTATACCCAATCACATATGGTCATAATGCTACTGAAATGTCTGTGGTGGAGGTCACCACAAAAGTGTTGGACAATGTCCTCATTTTCCCTTCAAAATCACTTTCCTTGAATAAACAGGTAAGGAAGAAGCATATACCAGCTTTCACATGATACCAAGCTCAGCCTTGCATCTTCCAAGAGATAATAACACTATGCATAATAATGTGGGTGCCTATTGGTTAAGCAATGGACACACCCACTGCTTGAGGTAAATACTTCTTTCTCACTAGTTTCCAAACATAAAAGGTTGGTTGCATCATAAGCCTGCTTGTTCATCTTTCCATCCTCAAGGGGTGAAATAAATTATAATTCTTTGAAGGGATAATTGTACAAATGACAGATCATCTCTTGGAGCTAAACATCTTCACTTTATCTCCTTCGTTTGGAAAAAAAATCAAATCAGTACCAAACATGTACAGATCCACTTAAACCCTGGAATCTACCTTGAGCAGAAATTCGCAGCTTTTCCAGGAAAAGTAGGCAGGCCATGCAGCAGTATGTAAGTTTAAATCTCCGTAAATTCCCATTAATTAATTTATCATAAGAAAACATGCTCACAGGGTGATACAGACTGCAGTTTTTGCCAGGCAGGGTACCTTTAGGATCTTTTCATCAATGCCCAAAATATAAACCTAAGCAGCACTGAGATATTTCCAGCCTTAAAATGCTGCATCTCCATAAACAACCGACTCCGTGCCCGGCAGAGCACATACTCGGACAGCTGCTCTTTCTGCTGGGTTGCCGGCGACACCCAATAAGGCATGTTGGACTATCGTGTATTGACAGACATCCCGCGGCGCGCCCCCCCCCCCCAGACACACACCTTGTACATCCGCAAAGAAACAAAACAGGAAGGGGGGGGACTTACACGAGGCTTGCTGGGAGGCTGCCGGTTCCTGCGGTTGGGCCTGGGCCTGTCTCGGGAGTAATGCTCCAGCTTCTCTCCTGCAGTCGGCAGGTCCATAAGGGATGGTGCGGATGGAGGCGCCGCGGAGAGAAGCCGCCCCCTCCCCGCCTCAGCATCCTTTGTGGCGGCAGGGCGTGACTTCGCGGAGGCCCGGCCGCGGAGTGACAGCTCAGCTCGGGGAGCCTCGGCTTGCTTCTCTTCTGCCTCTGCCTTGACCGCGAGCGCCGACAGACCTGGGAGAAAGTGGGGGGGGGAGGAGGGTCACAAAAGCCCCCCCCTCGCGCAAATAAGGAGGGTCACAAAAGCCCCCCCCCTCGCGCAAATTATCCCCCTGAATGCGCCAGGTGGAGAGCAGGCGGCCGCTAAGCAGCCACGTCTGCCGCGACACAGGGAGGCTTGTTGCGCGCCAGGCGGCGGAACCAATGAAGCAGAACTGGCGACTGCTGCGAAGTGGGCTCGGGTACCCTTCGGGTGTGTGTGTGTGTGCCGATTGGAAGAGCCGGGCTGGTCTGAAGGAGCTGGCGACGGACGGGTCCCCTTTCACACGTGCCCGCACCTAATGCTCTGGCTGGCTCCTGCTTTGATAAGTGGAAGCTGCCTGGAGCACTTGTTACATCTGTTTTTCCAAACTAGATTTCTTGAAATGCACAGAGCTTTTTCAGCGTTTGCTTGTTTGCATTTATTTATTTTATACCAAAAGCTTAGACATGTCATGAGCCCAACAGAGCTACCCACTCGCATGGGAACAGCAAGGAGTTATTCTAAACCCAATCCTGTGTTGCCCCACATTGCACTCCACACTGAACTACCCTTATGGCTTCACAGCAACCCACAGCTGCCTTTTTTGCTATCACTTCAGTTGCTATATATCATCTCACTAAATGCCATTGTCTTTTAATAGAAAGCATACATATTATTAGCATCGGGATGCACAGTGTAATCAGGTGGTGTAAACTACAAACTCCTAACAGGTAATGAAGAGGAATAACAGTTGTACAGTTGCTCTTCCCTTCCTGTTCAGTTGTACCAGAAAAGGAGCCGTGGTAATGGTGATAAACAGGAACATTATTATATGGAAGTATAAAATGCCAGAGCATCAGCTAAAATACTCGTCAATAAGACAAGATTGAGTGCTTTATGATGCTATGAACAGCAGAACATTTTCCTCTCAATTGGGCCATTATGTATTTGTACACCTATGTATTTGTACACATATTCAGCCAAGAAGCACTTCTGTGAATTTTAGAAGCTCAGTCATATACATTTTTACAGTATTGAGCCTTACTGTTTTCAGCCAGTGTTGGTATAGGGTCCATGGAGCAGCTGGGTTCCCATTGCACTGCCAGTTTGTACTGTGGAGAGAGAAAACAATGCAGGTGTTGATCTCAGAAGCCACGGCCCATGCTATCATTGACAAGGCAAGCTGGTCAGTGCCAGGAAGAAGCATGGTAAATGTGCAGAGTTTTACGTTGTGATCCTTTTTTGTTTGTTTGTTTGTTTCTTTTTGCACTTCTTTTCATGAAGATTCAATACTATACAGACCTAATAAGTCCTGAAACATGGTCTGTCAATAGGAAACTTTACTGTACATAGCACAGAGGGTATAGAAAGCAAGGCCCTGAGACTCCACAACATTCTAATTTTCCCTTCATAGATGATCCTGTCCATTTCCTATGATCAAGCACTAGGAAAACTACATTACTTCCAAAATTCCCTCAGCAAAGAAAGGGTCCAGTTTTCACTGCTGGTTTTGGAACCCTGTAATTATAAAATTTTACAATAATATCTACTGGTAAGCAATTCAAGCTAGGAATCGTGCATGTAAATTAAGCATTCACATGCACTTCCGCTGCTGATGGCACTGAGAAAGGAATGGACGTCATGAAAGCTGCGTTCACAACTCGCTAAGATTTCACAGCAGATGACAATAGGTCTTGCATATACTATATATGGAAAAAAAGCATTCAGAAATTGGGTTAGAAGGTTTAGAATGTTTTTCATGGCAAGTCTTCATGGACCATAGTTTTCATTAGATACAAGTTGGTTTTCAAAAGACTAAAACCAACAAATTGTTTTTCAAAGGACTAAAGTTGCTTCCGCATTATCTCCTGTGATTGCAGGATTTCTGTGACATACACATTCTGTTTTTGTCATACAATAAAGTGGCAGATTCTTCCTCACTGGCAATTACAATTAACCTGGAACTCTCTGTAGCAGGTCCAAGCAACTTTCTCAAGTAAGCTTTCCAATTTCTGCTGAAGTTTTGTGTTAAAGTGGAGAGTACTTCTGATCTCATTCAAAATGTATAAAATCTGCTGGAAGATAAGAGAGCTATCTTCATTATGGCAATCCCCTTAACCCATTGGTAGTGCTAGAATGTATCCATTGGCAATTGCAACCCAGGCTTCATATCTGGACTTGTCTCCATTGTATGACACTCAAGTTCAGAATGAAGCTGTCAGGAAACTTACATCAGTGGAAAGGTTTGAATCTTCTATGACTTCTTCTGCCTGCTGGATGTCTGCTTTAACTTCCACATCTTGCACAGAGCTTAGCATTTCAATGTGTGTCTTCATGTAATGGTATGCATCCATTGTCTGTAAAGAATAACAAATTTAAGACTGTACACTAGGTGCAAACTGGCTTTAGGAAGTACCATCCAGAATAAAAGCTAGTAAGCAAGATGAGTAACGTTTTTCGGGGCTCTTGAGTCAGAAATTACCTTTTCCTGATTTCCATTATATGTTTTGCTCTTCTGTCTTTCTTTAGGGACCAGGGCCTCTTTCATTTGATTCCTTGCAAGGTAAGACTGTATCTATAAGCATGGCAATATATGAAAATGACAGTTTAGCACATTGGAACCTAAGTAGGTCCCTCAGCTTAGGAAAACAGGCATCCCAAACTGAGCATGTTTCCCTACTCAAACAATGCCTCCGTTTTTGTTACCTTGTGCACAATTTCATTCATTTTCTCTGGATTGCTCCGGTAAACTTGAGTAACATCAACCATAGGTAAGGGCATAATCTTTAGTGTAAAATTCCTGTGGAACATACATTAGTTCCTTCTCAGCTACAATGGATTGGCAAAGACAATTGACAAAAATATGCAATTATACATGCAGTGATGAGCCATACATCATAAAAGTATTTTAATGTTAGCATAAAAATATTGTAGGTGCCTTGACAATACATTGTATATTCATTCAGACACAACATGCCTAATGTGGCAAGATATCTGACACCAACATTTATTTGAATACATTTTGAGCTATTACTAGTGACACAATAACTAAGGTGATACCTTTCCAAAGCGTGAGTGAAATGAAGGAATCCACACAACATTGTATTGTTCCTGTCCCAAATTAGAGTTCTATGAGAAAATGAATTCAGACAAAATGTCAGGCTCTTTGTTCATTTGTTTTATTTTGCATTTTCAAGCAATTTAAAAACATTAAAAACTCTTAGTCTCTAATATTTGCTATATGTTTTTAAAACCCTTGTACATGTTTTTGGAAAAATAGTAATTTAGGCATTAGAATTAATCATCTATTTATTTATTTTTTAAACCATTAGGCAAAAATACCATCTTCCAAAGCTGTTTCCCATTACACGCTAGCAGATATGGACCAATCCTATTTTTTCAGAATGGCAGAGATGAAAAGTATATCCGTATATGAAAGCCTACAGATCTGCTTCCCCTCAGATATTGTTCCTCTACCCGAAGCTGTTTTTATTTCGAGAAGCATTGAGAGCACTGAAAACAATGTGAAAGGGAACTCTTGTATCCAACCCAGTCCCAGTGGTACAGATCTAGGGGCAAAGAAATTAGGTTAACACACCTGAGTGTTGTATTCACCGACAAAGCTTTTGCTAGTAACTTGGCACCCGTATCTCCCATACCATTGCCACTGATATCAAGTACCGCAAGAGAACTTCGGCTGCTTCTCAAGCCATCTAGAATAATGCTGGTTCCCATTTTCAGGTGTGAGTCTGCCACTGATATGGACTGAATAAACTGAAATAAAATCAAGATTTGCTGTGACTACTCATATTGCTTGTTACGACAGCTAACTATAGACACAGAGGTTAACAAGATAACAGCTTAGTGAAACTATCTGAGCATAATGGCCAAAGGCTGTTGAAGCACATGTAAGTGCCATACATACACAGTCCTCATCCTGAGTCAGCTGAACAATTCGGTGTAGAGTATCCACCAGGGTTGCCCTGTATGGGGGGAAAACAAGAAAAAGCCACTTTGATTTGATACCTGGTTTGTTCTCTGCAGTTACTGTATGTGTCACGTTGATTAATTAAAGAACATTAGCAATATAAAATTTTGTTTGCTCCACATTGGTACCAAAAGTTTAAATGGTGCTTTGCTCTTCAGATACATTTTTGGTGCCTCACAATTAGATTGCAGAGAGCTCATTGCTATTGCTGGGTTGTTTTGAAAAGAATAATGCATGATCTCATCGTTTGTGAGCCATTTTAGGTTTATAGAAAAGTGAGTGCAAAAAATTAAATATAAACAAACACCGTAACCAAAAAAAGGTAATAATTGTAATCCACATGTATTTAGCAGTGGTGCCTCTCAAGACGATGTTAATTCGTTTCGCGAAAATCGCTGTCTTGCGAAAACATCATCTTACGAAACACGGTTCCCCATTGGAATGCACTGAAATCTACTTAATGTGTTTCAATGGGGAAAAATCATCGTCTTGCACAAATCATCTATAGAAAACTTCATCTTGTGAAGCGCAACAGCGATCGCAAAAACTAATAGTCTTGTGGATTAATCGTCTTGTGAGGCAATCATCTTGTGAGTCACCACTGTACTACTAAATGTCATTTCAAAGAATGCTGTGCTCACCTGGACCGGATATTGAAATTCTTCCCTAGGCCAACGTGCTTGATAGATCTACTTCTGCTGATGGCCAGCACCAGTGTCACAATGTCACAATCAAAACCTAAGGAAAAAATTACCTGCTGATAGGTAAAGATTACCACTAAAGTTTAACGAAAGTCAAGCTGTGTGAATCAAAACTAAGACCTAGTTAATGTAATTTTCCTGTATACAAATAGCAAAAGTAATATACAAGATCACATCAAAGTATTAGAACTATTACATATTCAAAGTTATAAGATTAAGGAATGGTTTTACCAAAGCCATAGTATTTGGTTTAATGTTTAAGTTGTGTATTGGTTATATTTCTTGTCTTTTTTCATGGTTTCTTATTCCTAGAATGTTACAAAAAATATTTTTGAAAAGGGGGTTAGCGAAAGCTGGGAGTTGAAAATAATATCTACAGCTTTTTTGAAAACGTGAAAAGAAAATTTTAAAAGACTATCTAAAAAAGACAATAATATCTACAGCTGCCAATCAATGTAATGTCTGAAACAAGATACAGTGGACCCTTGACTTACAGACGGCTTGACTTAAAGACTTTTTGAGTTACAGACTTCTCTGGCCGCAAAATTTAGGTTTGACTTGCAGCCTGAGAATTGACTTACAGACCAGGAAAAAAAACAAAATGGAACAAAAACGGCCTGTTACGGGATTAATCGGTTTTCAATGCACTGTAGGTCAATGGAGACTTGACCTACAGACTTTTTGACTTGAGAACCGCCTTCCAATACGGATTAAGTTCTCAAGTCAAGACCCCACTGTAGGCTAACAGACACATTTGGCTTCAGAGAACTGCATGGGAGATATTCCTGACAAAATAGGTGAAACTGAAAGACCTACCATTGTCCGACAAATTCAAATCACAGATGTTGGCATCTGACACTAGATCCTGGATGACCTGGGCACCTGCTGATCCCAGCTTTGGAATAAAGATAAAAGAAATGTGTACTAATAATCCTTGCACATCCAACAGTCCTCTCCTGAAAATATGGAACATAGCTCCCCTAATTATTAAGTTTGGGTTCTGGAGATTGTGCAGAGTCTCCATGAATGATTGTCTTCATAGCAACCTTCCACAAATAACAAGTGAAAAAATCGCAATCCTGCATCCCCCCCCCCAATCTTCTATTAAATTTTCACAGTTTGTAGTTTTCTCAGCTAGCTGAAGATTGTGGTAACAAACCTTTGGGCAGTAATATCCAGACATTACTGCCCTTTGCCTTTTAGAACTAAAAGCAAATTAAGACAAATTTGGGAAGAAACTTTTTTTTTTACCTCACAGCTACTGAGGTCCAGATGCAGTCCGTTCAAATGTATGTTGTATGCCAAGCCCTGTAGCACAGCTCTGTCACAAAGTGGAAAGGAAATTAATGCATTTGCCACCACTTCCTTATGACCTCAAATACATGCAATGAATATTGTTTCATTTCATACATGATTGGTTATTTGGAAAGATGATTTTCCCAAAACCTTGCCAAAAACGACCCTTTAACTCTGACCATTAAGGACATTTTATCTCCTGTAACCCCTGCTAGTCTGTTCACATCCATCGCTTACCTCAAGGCCTCTGGTGGTAGTTTAGTTCCAGCTAATGAAACATGTTGGAGGACAGACGCGTTGCTGAAGAAGTCACTGATTGCAGATGGAACATTTTTCTTCCTCCTAGAAGTATTAAACGTATGATTAAGGTATAACCTGCCATTCCAAATGCTTCAGTGAGGTTAAATTTTAGCAGTACTAATGTATCTTCGAAACATCCCATCCCATGACAGGAACCTGTTCAGCCTTTGTCAAGGGAACACTGGGGGGATCCTAACCTCTGGCTCTGCAGCCAGATACCTAATCAGCATGGTATCCGGCATTTGTGTTTGTCCATAGCAGCTGTATCCTTGCTTCCCATTATATGATTAATATTAGAACCAGTAGTTTTACTTTAAACATTTTCAGATTTCCATAACGTTTAGTTTACACGGGCACAATACAAAAGGGAAAGAAAATTATGCGTTCTTACTTGTAAGTGTAAATGTTCTTGGAAAGTTTTAGATGGATAAGATTCTCACAACATCCACTAGCTAGAGCATCAAATATCTGGGAATGAGATATAAGAGTCTTAAGAAAAAAAGGTCAAAAACAGGTAGCAAAAGCTAGTGCATTTCAAACAAACGGATACCAGGTAGAGCATGTGTTGAAGCCCTCAAATGAAGAAAGCTTTGCTCACCACATCTAAAGCACAGTCTGTTCCAGAAAGATCGAGGTAACTCAAAGCATTTGGCTGTTTCAGGAGACAAGACAAACCCTAAAAGGATATTGAGATAAAAATTTGCAGTGTGGTTAATGGAATAAAACAGCATTGCTGTAATTCCCTAGGCATATCCTTGAAACTGAAGTTAGAAACTAGAATTTATTTTATGTAATTACTGGTGAGAGTGGCTCCTGATGTTAAAACAAGTTACACTAAATAAACAAAATAGGTTTTAAACATTAAACATGCAATAATATTTAAATCCATTACTTAATTAAAAAAGCATTTAAAACTAACACATCTAAGGAGAGGGAAGCTATAGATTCTGTCATATTTATTAAATGTATGTCATCTTCAACTGATAGAAGAGAGGGGTCCAACAACCTTTCAAGGTAGAGTATTCCATTACAGGACCTGCAACAGAGCACATCTTGTGTCACCATCAAATGTTCCTCTGATGGGAAGACTCATATGGGAATTTGCTCATCAGATGACTCCTTCCTGGTATTGAGAAAATGTATCACTGATTTTCCAAACTAATTTCAGAACTCCGCATTTCAAATGCAAGTGTTCCAGGGGGTTCTCCTACTTAATTGGAGGACCTTTTGAACTGCAGCAGCACTGCTTGGCATGCAGGTGCATTCCTCGAATAACAGATTAGAGGAAGGTACCTCAACAAATACGAGGCTGTAGATAATGGCAGTCTATAAAACGAGATACTAAATATCCTATGAAATGAGAGATTATGAAGCAAGATACTTACTCCTGTACCTTCACTGACTAGACTCCCTGGGTTCCCAGAAAGGTCCAGGTGACACAGTGATGTTCTGAATAGTCCACTGGAAACCAGAGAGAGGCAAAGGGCATTTATTCCTGGGAGAAATAGAAAAGATGAGAACAAATGCAGGAAAAGGCGAAGTTTTATCTGCGAGGAGTCATTTGTGAATTACAAATGAGATTCACAATGCCTGTGCTGTCCCGAACTTTTCCTAGCTGATCCTGAGAATTTTTTGCAGTAGGACAGAAGTATGAAATCCATTTGTAGGTGACCAGTGGCCAACGTGGAATGTCAAAAATGTCAGGCTTCCCAAACCTAGATGTTGATATGAGCTTTAAAAAAAAAAAGAAACACTCCTTAACCAGACAAAACTTGTTTACAAGCTGAAATATATTTATCATGGGTGAAAATATTGCGAACTAGATGGGAAAAAACGCAATGTATAAATTATTTCTTGGGAACATGGAGTGACAGTTTAGCAAAATCTCAGCAGTTTTTTCCAATTTTATCCAGCTTTAACTAGTTAATTGAAATGGGACATGGTGACGCTGTGGGCTAAACCGCAGAAGCCTGTGCTGCAGGGTCAGAAGACCAAGCAGTCGTAAGATCGAATCCACGCGACGGAGTGAGCGCCCGTTGCTTGTCCCAGCTCCCGCCAACCTAGCGGTTCGAAAGCATGCAAATGCGAGTAGATAAATAGGTACCATCTTGGTGGGAAGGTAACAGCGTTCCGTGTCTAAGTTGCACTGGCCATGTGACCACGGAAGATTGTCTTCGGACAAACGCTGGCTCTATGGCTTGAAGAGGGGGATGAGCGCCACCCCCTAGAGTCGGACACGACTGGACAAAAAAATTGTCAAGGGGAACCTTTACCTTTACCTTTACCTTTAACTAGTTAATTAGCAAAAGTGGAGTGACAGCAATTGATTACTGTTTTCATTTTTGATTTCTTATTAAATCAAATTTCTCTGCTTGAAATTTTACTTGAATTTCTCTGCTTCATATTGTAGTTAGAACTTTCAGAGCAAAGCAAAGTGTGTATAGGGCTTGATTAAACTAATTTAGAATTACAATTTACCATATAGCACAGAAATATACACAATACACACTAAATGTTTGAGTTGGCAGGGATTTATTTTTTGTTTACTGTATTAAAACTTTTGTCTACGAAGTTCAGTTTCTAATGCAATTAAATAATGTGCAAGATTTTACATATACTTTTAGACCTGGAAGAGACTTCTGAATCTTCAGGGCTAGACTCAAATTCTAGGAGGCAAAGTGGGGAACCAACCTGCTTCCATAGTCTGACAAGTGAAGGGAGTTAAATGTATTTATTTAAAATTATAAGTAATATGTGATGTTCCACTTTTTTTTCAATATCACCAGGCTTCTCCTTTATACCTTTTGGAGTCATGTAGGTTTTGGCAAAGTTCAAGCTTTGGGGACTCTTGATGAACTGCTCAAAGATCTGGCTCAAGGCAATTATCCCTAAGGAGAGAAACCAAATATCCATCTATGTTTCTTAAAACACCAATGAGGCCTATTGTGCCAAGAGGCCCTAATTTCAATGTAAGGAGACCAAGAGAGAGGTGGGAGACATTGCCGAGCTTTCATTGTGGGCTTATGAATAAATTTGTTTCAAAATTGAAAATATACTACCTCGGTCTTCTAGAAGATTTCTTGAGAGATTAATGGAATTTAAGGCAGAGTGTGGATGGTTTCTCAGTACCTGGACCATTTCTTGAGCAAAATCACTGCACAAAGGAAAATTATATGGGACAGAATGAGTGAAAGTGAGAGAGATCATCTCATGTCCAAAAATTATAATTAGCTAACAAGAGTCTACAACAATGTCCACAAGAATGTCTAAGAGTAAGTGTGACTATGTGGTCAGTTACTATGTGGTCAAATACCATGAATTCAAGGCATTTTTTTGGTTGATCATGTTATAGCTGATTCAAAATGGCCATGCACATTTTATCAAAATTTGGTGAGTTCCTCTCACGTTAAATATCTTTCTAATTGCTGAGGGATGAATTTTAATGTTTTTCTCAGTGACACTACAAAACAGCGTTATCCAGTTTCATCCTGTAGGGGAATAACCAACCTGAAAGTTCCAGTTGAGGTGAGCCTCAAGTAACATCAAATGTTCCATTATTAGAAAATTATGTCCAAGAAAACTGATATAACGAAGTGCTCTGATCTTGGCCTCCCAAGCCAGAAAGGATAGAGTGCTCACCAGAAATAATAGTTGCTCTCATTAATAAAAACTGGATACTACTGCTAAATGACAGGGGGAAAAAACTAGGAGAACTGTCAAGCTTTTTAGGCTAACGGAATGGCATGAGGTCTGAGATTTTAAGAGGCATAGTGTCCCTATTCCAAAGCTAAACTATATGTCATTGCACATCTTTTTTGTAAAGTAGGAGTCAAACCATCTTTGACTGGCAAAAGGGCACTGATGGTTTCTACTGCTGAGAAAGTGATGCAACTGCAGAAGTGTACAATGGCCATGGGGTCTTTGTGGATTGGTCCTCTCAGTTCTGACCTAGCTCAAGGGTTTTTGCAGTGAGGATAGTCATGCCTTGAATAAAAAATACTGTACTAACCTATTATCTGATAAATTACAAACCCAAGTCTTGCTTACAACTTCAAGCTGCAATTTTCTAATGTCAGTTCTTCCAAAATCACTGACTTGCCAAGCACATGAAGGATCTGTTTCACAATGTCTGGATTCTACAAAAAATATATTGTCAACAATTGCTGAGCTTTCATGATATGAAACAGAAAGAAGCATCAAAGACATATAATTCTATTATTTTCTTTTTTTCCTAGCAATTATGTACTTTTCATACAATTATGTAAGCTCTTCCTAGAATGCATCTTCTTTAAAGCATTTTGGTATTCCACCATTTCCAAACTTACCAGTTTGAAATCCTTGCAACATAGCTTTGTGAACCACCGGTTACAGGACAAAGCAGCTACACTAAGAGCTAAGTCCCTGAATCAGGAAAAACAACACTATTAAACACATTTACAAATGACAAAAGGAACAGCATTTTAAAAAATAAAGTAACCTGCGAGCACAAAGAAACTGTATTTTAAACTGTTTCTAAATTATCTCTGTACCTGAGTTACGTTTTCATACTGCAGAAAACTCAGGGAAAACCCAATGTTTTTTTTTTTTGTTGTTGGGAAAAAATGATTAACATGGTAAAGAGTTAATCTATATTGAAAGCCCTAACAAGGTTATTGAACTAGGACAATGCGGAAGAAGTTTAAACATTTCAGCTACCTAACATGCAGATTTCCGAATCCATTACTATTCTCCAATTCTCCCATTGATTCCCATGGTCCTCTGTGAATTCACACAAGTGGGTTTCTTCTGAGCTTGTGCAGGATGTTTTGGAAGTTTCTAGAGCTTCAAAAGATTGGACAATGAGACATCCCCCCCCCGGAGCACAAGCTCCGCCCTCCAGTTCCTTCCTTAGTCCGCCACTGTCAAATTAGAATACTGTATGTGTATGTAAGAAGACAACGTGATGGACAGAGGGGAGGAAGGGAGGGATTGTGCAAATTCACAGAGGTCCACTAGAAGAACCATGGTTACAGGTAGGTAACCTCTCTGACAAGCTCACTTACCGAATAGTGGGACATCACAGTAGCAGAGATGTCAGAATCGCCCTGCCAAATGTAGCATCACTCTTCGCTCTGACATCAAGGCAATAATGCTTCATAAAGGTTGACAGATTGGACCAGGTTGCTGCTTGTCAAATGTTTGGTAAATCTGTTCCACAATGAAGAGCAGCTGATCTTGACATTGCTCTAGTGGAATGTGCCTTTATTCGTTCAGGAATTGTTTTGCCTGAAATTTTGTATGCAAGCGATATAGCTTGAATTATCCATCGGGATATAGTCTGGGGTGATGCTGGAGCACCCTTATGGGGGCCATGAAAACATACAAATAGTCTTGGAGACTTTCTGAAACTTTTTGTCCTGTTGGTGTAGTAGGCTAAAGCCCTTTAGCATGTGGAGCGTGCGCTCAATAGATGTAGAAGGAGATGGGAACAAGGTTGGTAAGATCAAAGGTTGGTTCATGTGAAAGTCTGAAACAACTATGGGAAGAAATGAAACATCAAAATACATCAGATGGGAACAAGGTTGGTAAGATCAAAGGCTGGTTCATGTGAAAGTCTGAAACAACTTTGGGAAGAAATGAAACATCAAAATACATAGTGACTTTTTCAGGATGAAATTGTAAATATGGAGGGGTCCGATCTGAGAGCTGTCAATGCACTAGCTCATTTGGCAGATGTTATTGCTATTAAGAAAGCTGCCTTAAGGGAGAAAATTTTTTCATCACATGTAGCCATTGGTTCAAAAGGTGCTTTAATGAGGGAGTTCAAAACTAATTGCAGTGACCAATGAGGTACAATTTATTGTTTTGGGGGTCTGATATTTTGAAGACCCTTAAGAAATCTCTTTAGTGTTGGGTGAGAGAAGAGTTTTGCTGACGGAGATTGTTGTGGTTGGTATGCTACGATCGCTGAGATACAGTGGTGCCTCGCTTAATGACATTAATTCGCTCCAGCGAAATTGCTGTAGAGTGAAAACGTCATAAAGCGAAAATAAAAAAGCCCATTGAAACGCATTAAAACCCGGTTAATGCGTTCCAATGGGCTAAAAACTCACCGTCCAGCAAAGATCCTCCATACAGCAGCCATTTTCGGTGCCTGTATAGTGAGGAATCCATCCCTAAGCACAGCAGGGAGCCATTTTGAGCACCCAGCGGCCATTTTGAAAACCCAACGATCAGCTGTTTTGATCATCATAATGCGAAGAATCAGTTCCCGAAGCAGGGAACCGATCTTCGCAAAGCGAAAAACCCCCATTCAAAACATCATTTTGCGATTGCAATTGCAATCGCAAAGACATCGTCGTGAAGCAGATTTGTCATAATGCGGGTAATCATTAAGCGGGGCATGACTGTATAGACTTTAATCATGGAGCATGAGAGTCCGAGGTCGAAAAGGTGAAGAATGAAGGTATGTGACAGGTCTCAAAGTCAACCTAGGGAATTGTTCATTGCAATTCAGTGGATAAGTTGTAACAGGATCAGGATTTGGGTAAGCAACATGTAACAAAGGAGCACAGCTGGGTTAATTGAGGCAGCTGTGTGACAACCAATTTGATTGGAGAAACCAAGGATAAAACTAGCCAAGCTTACAGGCACAAACTGTTGGGTAGTTGTTGGGTAGTGGTTGTATTGTTGTGTTGCTGGTGATCTTGTTGCTGAGAACTGTATTTACTGCATCGTTGGATGAAGACTTGCCATATTGCAAGGAGAAGATCCTGGGAGAAGACTATCTCTGTGGTGAGAGGAGAAGACTTCGTGGATGCAGGACTCTTTATATTGGTAACAATATTTGGTTACTGAAACTGTAAATTTACCATTGCTAACTGAAGAACTACTGTGAATGACCAGGACTGTATAAAGACCAAGAGAAACTGTATTTACCCCTGTATATATGGACTTTGTTGTAAATAATACTTTCAACACTACAACAGTGTCTGTTTGGTTTCATCTCTGGGCAGTTCACTT